GGGGGGGGGGAACTGTGGCGGCTTTGCCGGATTGAACAGAGGAAAGGGATTTATTCATTAGGTTTCATGGATTCGACAGACGCTTCGTTAGTGTTTTTCGCTCGCTCTCACGATTTGCGTTCTGCTAGGGCAGCTCACTCTTCTCACCTGCAGCGTGTGGAATGACAAGAAAACGTCACAGAGATGTGGATGATGAACGCCGTGGGCATTGCAGCGCGTATTTGTGCTGTGGCAGCTGGTGTGCCTTGTTGCCGTTGCACAGACCGCTGGCTGCTGATGGGGTGGATGGGAAAGTGTTTCCTGGGATGATGTTTTTCTTTTCTCCCTCTGTAGCTGGTGTGGTGAATGATAGGTGCCTTCTCTCCCTCAGCGAGGTTGGCACCCCGTGCGACCGTCTTCTGGAGCGGCGACCGTGGAAGCCGTGTGGCCACCACGGTCCTTTTCGATGCTCGTGTCTGGTTGTGGCGCACCTTGCACGCGCTGTATTTCAGCTGGAGCGGGAGTTGATGCTGTTGCAGGGGAAGCTTGAGGTGCTGACGAACCCCGCTGTCGACTGCTGCAGTGTGCCATTCTTTCAGGTGGACTTTACACATCGCACGGCTTCCTTGTTTTTACACGGGCTTCCTGTACCTCAACGGTGCTACGGTCCCTTTCCCTTGACTGTCGTGGACGACTCATCCTCATTCGGGAGGGCAGTAGCGGATGCTTTCAGCGGCGCGGGGCTCATAGTGGAGGAGCGGCTGAGCTGTGTGCTGTGTGCTGCCAATACGGGTGACAAGTGCTGTGTGTGCAAGTGCGTTGTTTGCGGTGCGTGTGGGGCGCAGTGCCGCTCCTGTGTAATGAGAGCCTGCAGGGCTTGCATTGCTGTGAGTAACGAGTTCCTGGCGGACGAGGGTGTGTACTGTTTCGCCTGCTACTGCCCCTAGGCGCATGGCGCTTGGTGAGAGGTGTGGTCCAGAGCCTGTGTGATTCTTGGCGTGTGTGTGCTTGGTTGGGCAAGGGCGCTATGCTATTGTGTTGCAACAGCGTGCGGATATGCCTCGTATTGGCACGCCGCAATGGAAAGAATTCACACTCTCCTGTCTTGTGCACTCTTTGCATGTGCTTGCGTGGCTTTTGTTTCTCACGTTGTTTTCTGATGTTTCTTGCACGAAAAGTGCTCTTTGCTACCTTGTGCATTTAAGCATGGACCCACAGTCTCAGGGGAATACAACCCCTCATTTGTCGCACGATGAGAAGGATGGAATTACCTTGACCAACACCTCGCGAGCCTCGATTGTGAGGGTTGAAGATTCTAACTGCATAAAGAGGTTGAGTCAACGCATCATTCCCAGCGGAGGGATTCTTTCCGGTGTTTTCAACCTTGCCGGGAGCAGCCTGGGCGCTGGAATCCTCGGGTTGCCCTCCGCATTTCACGCCTCGGGCATCGTGATGGGAACCATCTACCTCATTGTTATATACCTGCTAACAGTTTTCTCAATTGAGATTTTGGCAAAAACGGCGCAGAAAACTGGAATTCGAGGCTATGAGGCAATGGCTCGGTCCTTGTTTGGGCGTGGTGGTGACATCTTCACGGCCATTGTTATGTTTGTGAAGTGCTTCGGTGCCTGCATTGCATACGTGATATCAATCAGTGACCTTATGTCCGCTTTTCTGAAAGATGACTCCGTGACTGGATATTGGGCCACATTGAGCTGGAACCGTGTTGTCACATGCATCATTTTCTTCCTATTCATGCTGCCACTGTCCCTTCCGAAGCGCATCAATTCGCTGCGATATGTTTCACTATTTGGTGTCAGTTTTCTTGTGTACTTCGTCATAACCATCGTCATTCACTGTGCCCTGTACGGTCTCGAGGATGGGGTGCGGGATGATCTTGTTCTGGCCCGGAAAGGGAATGAAGGTATTCGGGGCCTTGGCATGTTTATGTTTGCATACCTTTGCCAAAGCAACATGTTTGAAGTATGGAATGAGATGAA